TTCAAATTCACAAAACTCTTACTCCCGTTACCTAAAAATCTTAAAAACATGCACACTCGATCACCAAATTGCAAAAAGTGGCTACCATGACTGCAGGATAACCACATTTACAGTAATTGAATTCTAATAACGCTTTATATAGTCATACCTATTTTGAATAGCTGGCTCCACCAGAATGAGACATAAATTGGAGCATCATTGATCTCAAATTTGATATTTCATCACGGAGACTCGTAATTTCATGTTCTTTTTGTGTAAGATGCTCCTCAAATTCTCCACTTATGTTAGTTATTTCTTTAGACACCTCTTGTTCTTGTTGTGAGGAAGCAACACTCAAAGTAGAACCTTTATGAGATTTAGGCTTTGAGCCCCAACCAGCGCTTTTAACGTAGCTCGATCGAGACCCAAGAATTGTTTCCAGTACTTCTGGGTCTGACATTGGTTCGCTACCTTTTCTCATAAATTTGTCTCTAACTCGCATCATGTCTAACTGCATAATTAAGTAGTCAAAAAACAATAAAATATTTCACACATACAGTTTGAAGTATAATTTGAATTAGTTAATTATTATAAGAGTGATAAACTTACATAAGTCATCTTAGCGCCTTATGTACCTTTTCTCATTGTATAGGATACCTTCACTCGCATGTCTCCACACGAACGACCTGGATCAAATCATTTGTAACTAATACAAAATGGGCTGTATCCGTAGTGTTACCAGGATTAGGTACCCAACCTTATCCATATATTATAGACCCTTTAGGTTACTACTGGAACATTATTCACCTGTATATCAAATATATACGTTGTATATTAAATATATATTGTATATATGTTATATATTGTTCCAGTTATATGACATAACCTCGGATGTTAGTTTATTGAGTTAATGCAATTCTAAGAGAAACATCAATAAAAACTTTATTGAATAAATAATTGTTTTATGTTTACAAACCACGAGTTTAGGGCATAAAACCCAACATAGTTCATAATTGGAAAAAAGAAGAAAAAGGAGAATAGAGTTACAACTCATTCTAATAAGCAGTAAGGGCAACAGCCTAAACTTCACGAATTCAGTCATAAACTGGCCGAAAAACATCACAAATAGTTGTTAGGTCCACCACCTGAAAATGGGTATTTCTCTCTATCATTTTGGGTCCTAGTGTGAAAATTCCACTTTGGATTGATTCCCCTTGGGAATTGATGATGTGAGCCCATTCATCTGGTTGCTTTTATAGCTTCCTAAAAAATTATGGCAAAACTCGATAAAGCACGTGTAGTACAGACATCAGTAAAAAGCCCGCGTAAAACGAGTTACTTCGTTGCCCAAAAATTTCTACAGCAAGCGATGCTCCATCATCGGATGTCCTAGCTTTGAGAGTCCTAGCATTATCCTCTGGTTTAGCTACACTGCTACTAGTAGCTTCCAAATTTTGCACAAACAACCTAAAAACAGAAGAAATAAGCCACAATTTATCTTCTTTAAGCAAAACAAGGATTTTATATATGATTTTTATATTGCTTACATAATTCCTCATTTTAGTATGGTTTATGATTTGGACTCTCCCATTTGCACTCAATATACCCATTATTCCACCAAAATAATTCTCTTGTGGAGAGTTATTAATGGCTCATCCAAACACATGAGTCGAGTCAAGCAAAGAACCACATATGACTGAGCGCACCTGATCAGTGGGTAGGGTGCTAACACCCTATACCCAAACTGCGATATGCTTAAGGGGACCTCTCAGGATGTAACACCCTAAGTTTTTGAGTTATTTTTATCTTAAGATTTAAATACGGCCTTTGGAATATTCCCCTGAGCTGGTAATTAAAATTTTTTTGGATTTCTAAGTTGGAGTTCTAATTTTGGGTAAATTAGAATTAAATTTAATTTCCTTGGATTAAGATAAATTTAGTTTTCGAATACTGGGAATAGATTTTTAATTAAATCTTATTCCAATAATTTTGAAATTTAATTTCAAACTAAAGTTAACCTCGTAATTTATTTTCCCAAATCCTTTTGAAGTGGGTTTTATTTTGAAAAATGATTAAGAAGAATTCCAACTCTTTTATGGCTTAGCTCATTCTTCTCTGATTATTTTAATTGGCCCATCCCTCATTGAAAAAAAAAATAAAGAAAAGGTTTTGTTTTTTTAAAACAAAACAAAGCCCTAAAGAAAATTGTTATCTTCTTCCCCTTCTTCTAACCCTAGCCGCCCCCCTCGTGGTTTCATTCCTTCCAGCCAGCACCGCCCTCCGCCGGTCATTGAAAAGTAGTGGTGACACTCTTTCCCAACAACCAGCGACAACACCACGAACCCG